TCTCTCTTTCCTCTCTTTTTTATCTGTCTGTAAACGTACTTATCTGACTCAATATTTGCTTACCTTTGAGCTGTTGTTTTTTATTTGCTTTCAATTCATTTCACATTTTGTTCGTGTATTTTGTATTTCATTTTTATTTTTCAGTCAAATCAAATATGTTCTTACGTTGCTTAATTTGCAATTGTTTTTATTTTTTTAACGCATGCTTCGTTTTCTACATCCTGTAAACATTTCGCAAAAACGGGTAGAGCAGGGCTTTGTTAAATTTGGCATAAGGCATAGGGAGATTTAGCTGGAAATTCAAAAGTCAGCCGGAATTACAGAATCTGAGCTCTGGTATAACATGCACTGATTTCTATATAAAATATACATATATCATATATATGAATACGAATGAATATCTGATGTATTCAATTTTATATATCCATAGGCAAAAAAACATTGGGCCTTGATACAGGGTAGCTCTTTCGCTTGCTTGCTTGTTTTTAATTAATATCCACTTGTTTATTTTCTGTTTATTTTATTTTCGTTTGTTGTTTTTTGTTTCGGCATAATAAATACTAACAAATTATTAAGTACTTATCATTCATTAGAATACGTGCTATATGTTTTCTAAAGTGATAATTATTGTTATGGCTGCATTATGCATAATTTATGGTATTTGCACATTTGTTGATTCTGATTAAAGGTGTTAAGTTCAATTTAGCATACATTTGGGATAGTAAATAAAATTTAGCTAACATGTTGAACTTTTAATTGTAATTTTTCATGCCATAATTTCATTATTCTAACTTTTTTGCCTGTGGCTCATTAGACACCAATTGAATGAGATTAAACGTGTTCACACTTAACGATATTCAACCTGGAAAAAAGTGTTTGAAACTTATCGAAAGAAAAGTCCGAGAGCTCTACGCAACAGTTTTCCACCAACATTTATACCTTTATCAAAATAGAAGGGTGTTCCCTCTTAAGGTCAGTGCAAACAGTCGTTGGGATAGATTCGAATTAGAACTCATCAATCATTTTATGGCAATTTTATAAGACCTGCAGCAAGGAGCAGATTGGAAACGATGAAACCTTATTTTGCCACAAAGAAATTCATATGTATAAGTGTGTATAAAGACACATTTACACACACACACACACAGATGGCAGCTGTTGCTTGGTGTTAATAAAATTAAAAAAAATTCTTAGTTCTATTTGTAACATAATTTTGCAAGTTCTTGAGTTGTTTTTTCCTGTTTGTGTATGTGCAATTTGAGATTTAATTTGAGGCTGCTTTTAATTAAATGAAATAACAGGGCTCAAGTCCTAAAAGCCAATAAGTGAGTTAAGCCAATGGCTAACTTTGAGACAATCGCATTTGGCTGCAGCCAAAAAACATGCTATAACAGCAGCTGTTGTTCTCTATAATCCAATTGGATGGCTGCCACCAAAACAAAGTCAGTCGAAACGAAAGAAGAAAGAGTAAATGAAAGGCGCACACATACAATCAGCACGACAAGTGGCAACAATTTCGAATCCATTGAGAAATCAAGCAGCAAAACACATGCTCATCGCGAATGGAGCAGCAGCAGCAATTCGGGCCATGCTCATCCCTGCGGTCTTGTCCTTGGCTTGCCAGGCTGTCAGTGGATGTGTAACAAGCGGAAACCGCACAGAGAGAAAGTAAAAGAGAAAGTGACAGATAGAGAGAGAGAGAGAGAGAGAGTGAAAGAGAGCGAGAGAGAGAGAGAGAGAGAGTTGATAGGGCCAGGATAGCTTTTGGCAGCGCCCTGCCACCTGACTGTCTGCCTGCTGCCAATCGTCCTGGTTGAGTGTGCATAAAAATGGGTCATTCATTGACAACTCCGTCAAGCGCTTGCTCTGCCACATCTTCCACTGCTGCTGGTGCCGTTGTCGCTGCTTCAGTGGCAGCCTCTATCATCCGCCTTGTTTCCCAATACAATAATATGTAATAATAACAATGGCAGCAGTTGCAGCAACAAAAACAACGTCTTTTTTCAAAGTGCTGCACTCGCGTCTGACTGACTCAAAGCTGCCCTGTAAGTCAAAAGTTAATTTTATCGAGCATAAATCTGTCAAGTCTGACATTTGCAAACAATAAGTTAATTTTCACTTGGAGATTGAGCAATTCAAATTTAAAATTGCATTTAAACTTGCAAGGAACTTTAAACTTTAACAGCATGTCTAAGTGGCTGTCAACTTTAACAGGAAATCACACTTTGAACAAATTTAAATGCATACAGGGTATAACAATAACAGTTACATTTCGCGCATACACAAACACAAGCTTTCGCGAAAATAGCGAAGCATACGAAAAGCAACATGAGGCGGCTTTAGGGTACTTCTTATCATTGCTGGAAAGTCAAGGAACATTTTCGTTGCCTCACCTGCCGCACCTTAGGGTGCGTTTCGTGATAAGGCAACTCAAAAATCAAAAAAAAAAATTTAAATAATGCCGATGCCATAGGCGCTGCTAGATCTGTATATTCATATAATAGCTTAATAAACACATTGAAATATTGTATTATTCATATCTAGTGCGGGATTCATGCCTTTCAGTTTTGTGTAGCTATAGGTATTATTCTTCACAATTTAATTACACGAACCCGAATTAATATCTACAGAAGCCATACAGCAGCTACAGCTTCCCTTTTATGTGTAGCCAACTGGGCTGGGGCAAGGTCAAAGTTGATGATGACGTCGCATGTGGCATTATGCAGCGTATGCGGCAGACATACGCAGCTAACCTGTGTGCCTGACGCTGGGCAGATGTGGCTAGCGCTATTATTCGCCATTGTATGGGCCTTCATTCTTTTCATTTGGATGTGTATTCGTGCCGTCTCTCATCCATTTCGATGGCTGCCTTTTTTATTAACTTGTGGCAGCTACAACAGAATACGGTCAGCAACAGTTCGAATTTATACTGCAAGCGGACACGAACCGTAACCCATGCTGGCGCACTGCTGGCCAGAGGATTAGACTTAACTGGGTGCTATGGGTGGCATGGGTATGGCTGTGCCTTTGCCTCTGCCTGTGACTGCGGCCGGGCCAGTGCGCATTGAATTTGAAACCAGCTGCTGAGCGCATGATTTTGAAAGCCATTAGTGTTAGATGAAAGCAAACAGCAGCAGACGCCAGATACTGGCCAAAATGTTGCGGTTGTGGCTGCCAGACAGCCCTGTCACAGGGCGAAAGAGGAACAGACAGAGACACCGGCCAGACATTAGACACAGCACCACAAACCATTTTACACATTTAAGCTCCCAACTCTTTTCTTAATTCTTGTTTTTTTCAAAATCTGTATCTATAGTTCCATTCCATTTGCGGCTCTTTTTTTTTCTTTACACTAGGTATTCGAATTTTTTAATCAATTTTAAAGCGCATTAAGTAACAACATTTATTTTTTCGTAGTTCTTTATATTATCCAGTGCTGTACACCCAAAAAAACATTGTCAGTTATTTTAGCCTTGATGCTGATTCTTCCTCCAAAGTTTTGTATTTGAACAGAAACTATTTCAAAGGAAACTTTGGTACGTTTTGGGTTTTGGTTCGTATGTGTTTTGAGCAACAGTTTTGGTATAAGGCTCAGTTCTTAACTAGTCTTCTCTATCTTTATTTTCGATATTCTGAATAGTGTGAACTAATTAAATGGAATTTCTACATAGCGTACAATACACGGCAAGTATTAGAAGAAGAACTATGTTTTTATAATAAAGAAAAACTTTGAATATGATACTTTGAATGTGAGTACACAATTGCCCGCTGTCAGAATTCGAACAGTGTTGCAAAACGTTTAACAACTCGATAGACTCGATTATTTCTATAAACGATATGGCTTATCGCCTATCAGGAATTTTAAGTTTCAATCAACGTTAAGCTAAATTCATTATAGATTATATATTTTCTGCAATTCATCATCAATTTATTTGCTAGACTTCTCTTGTACTCTTTACCTTCTATGATCAAGCTACCTTATACCTTTATCTGCCAGGGTATATGCCCTTTTAGGGCATTTTTTGTGTGTCGAAATTTTGCTTAATTGAGTCCTGGACATGCGTTTCAGCTCCCAGCTGACATTTCCCTATATTGTTCGGGTCCGTTCTGTACGTGTGCCTTGGACCGTCGGCTGCTGCTAAAAGATTGAAAACATAATTCACAATTTGGGCGGCCCATAAAGCATTCGGATTGACCATTCGGCCTATTGTACTCAAGGCCAGGTCATGTGAGTAGGTCAGCAAGCACAGTGGTAGCCACATTTACTGGGACTCCGACTCCTATTGAAGGCAAAACATTTACATCTAAAATCAATGTCAATTAATGAATGGTATAAAACGAATACATGTACATACAAGTAATCAAATAGAATAAATTTAAAAACAAAACGCACAAAAAAAAAGTTAACAAAATGTCGATATGCAAGAAATATTTAAGTGTTAATTTGATATGGAGAAAATTGTTTTAAAAAAGCTGTTTCTGTTCTTCTAGTACATGACATAATAAGGCATTAAATAGATACAAACCTACACATACACACACACTCACATGTACGCTGAGTCGCCCAACAACAATGAGAAAAGTTTCTTTTGCAACTTGACAACGTTTGAACGGAAGGGTGTGGGGCACAAAGTCAACGTGAGGCTGCAACGCCCTGCGAAAAGCAACGAAACGCTTAACAAAATTTACATTATTATCTGTCATTATTAAAATATGTGCATAAATGTGTGCGTTGGCGTGTGTGTGTGTGCGTGCGAGTGTGTGTGTGTGTATGCAAATACAATAATATTATGCAAATTTTGTAACAGCATTTTATTTGCAATTTAAGCCGCTTGTTCAACACATTTTTAACCATTCTCTCTTGCTTACACAATCACCTCCCCTCCTTCTCTCTCTCTCTCTCTCTTTCTCTCTGTCTTTCTTGCTCTCTCGTTGCCTCTTTATCTATTAACTGTAATCTGGTTTGGTAAAATTGTAATGCCCGCATCTCGCTTTTCCAGTTTCCAGCAATGCGCGCCCTATCCATATCATCGGCAGATGCGTTCATTCTGGTTTACGATGTCACCGATGCGTCCACTTTCGAGGAGGTGCGGGCTATACGAGATCAGATACATGAGACAAAGGCGACCACAGCGGTGCCAATTGTGGTTGTTGGCAATAAGGTAGATCTGCTCTCCGAGGATGGAGAACTGCGCGAGGTGAGTGCCGGCGATCAAAGTTCATCAATTATCATTATTTTTATTATAATAATTATTTGCTATTCTTATTATTACCATTAGTATTATTATTATTATTATAATTTTTATTATTATTATTATTATTATTATTATCATTCATTATCATTATCATTATTATTATTATTATTATTATTATTATTATTATTATTATTATTATTATTATTATTATTATTATTATTATTATTATTATTATTATTATTATTATTATAATTATTATTATTAATATTATTATTATTATTATTGTTATTGTTATTATTATTATTAATATTATTATTGTTATTATTAGTATTATTATTATTATTGTTATTATTATTATTATTGTTGTTATTATTATTATTATTATTATTATTATTATTATTATTATTATTATTACTATTATTATTATTATTATTATTATTATTATTATTATTATTATTATTATTATTATTATTATTATTATTATTGTTATTATTATTATTATTATTATTATTATTATTATTATTATTATTATTATTATTACTCAATCATTGTTTTTACCATTATCAATATTCCTACCGTTTGTTTTTGTATTATTTTATCATTATTTTTGAGTGTGTTTAACATTTAATTTTCAGCGGCGCCTTGTGGCCCAAATGACAACAACAAAAACAACCGCAATTTAACTGATTTAATTGTTGTTGGCAAAAGCACTCAAAGGAGTGTTTATACAACACACCAACCAAACGCACCAAAACACTCACGCACACACACTCACCAAAACACACCCACACACTCACACACAGACAACCCGTACTAATTCGTAACCCGTTTATAAGCTATGCAAATTGCTTTTGTTTCGGCCCAAGCAATTATGTAAAGTTTGTCAAGCGTGACCAGCTGCGTTGATGGTGGAATGATGTCGACGGTGGTTCGGGTGGTGACGGGTTACGGACTATGTCGATGGGTATAGCGGCTCCATCGGGGGCCTAGTCTATATGCCAGGATCGGCCTTCGCCTTTGCGTCCAAGTCCCAAATTGCAGCGAAACTCAAATATTTGCGCCAACAAGTAGCCAAAATCAAATACATTTTTTTCTTTTTACTTGCCCGCAAAGTTAGTTAAACAATTGGCTGGAATTACAAATGGCGACAGATTTAATGGTATTGCTATTTTTAGCAAGGAATTAAAATTTCATTGTTCGTTGGTTGCCCTCAAAGTGTCACGAAATTGAGTTTAAGGCACGTAGTTTTTAACGCTCAAAAATTTGGTTAATATTTTGAGACCTTTCCAAACTTGAGTGAATTCTCTGATAGTTAGACTATTGATTCTAATAAATTGGAAAGTAAGTACATTTATGTAAATATTTGCATACCTGTGTGCCTAAATGAATATGCGTAGATTGATATTTGTCTGTCCAGATAAACTCAACTTCGATGCCAAGCTTAAAAGGCTCGTGCATGCCCACAAGTAGCCAAATCAATAATAAATAAATTATTTTGCTTACAAGTTTCTTAAACAAGCGTTTAGTTAAAGCTTAATTAATAAATAAAGCTGATCTGCAAATAATATAAATTGCTTAGGCAACGACACGAACTGCTGTGAATCAGTATAAATTCGTGTACATCGACTTCTAAAGAGTCTCTCTATGTGTAAAGAAATTATATACTTTGTGTATACCAAACGAAAAGCAGGGCAAAGCAATTTAATTAGATTGCAGTTTCTGCAGCATTCAACTGAGGTGTAAATTAAACGCAAAAGCAAATCTCATCAAAGGTGCTGTCCCGCTAAATGCGCACAAAAGTATGCAACACAAAACACGGATTAGAAACCTAGCCGACCACTGTGCACTGTGGGGCACATTCACACTATTTGTGGTCATATGTTTCTTCTTTGTGGTCAATTGTTACGATTCAACTTTCGAAACCAAAAAACAAATTTAATAAAACGTATTTATTATGACAAAACCTACGAAGCAAACAAAGCTCAAGTTTGTGCTTATAAGTTAAATGAAAAGTGTTTAAATAAGTTCGCTATTTGCTTGGGAATAGAAAATGAAGACACATATATTTAAAGAAAAAAGAAAGTAATTTGTATTTTAATTAAAACAAAGCATTTGCTTGAATTGTTAAACTTTCTCATTCCACTTGACCGCAGTGCAGTGGTTAAACTCAAATTTTTGTCATAAAGTTGCCTGACTGAAAGTTTTTCCTCTTCCAGTCCAAATGCAAAGCTACACCTTGTATACAAATATATACAACTATATGCACATATATATGCCAGCATATAGTATATATGGTACATATTCGAATAACTTATTTCCTGTTTCAACTTTTCCGTGCGCTTTTTATCATCTAACGCCAACTTTTGCCAATCGCAGTTTATTGCCGCTTTGTTGCTTATTGTTTCAGTTGACAATATATATATGTATACTATATGAAATACCCAGTAATAACGTTAAGCTGTGGACACACGACTTGTGCCTTGGCATATCTTTAATGATCATCGTTAGGGTAAATGGCCAAATGGAATTTTGTATTAGTTTATGCAAATTCAGGGCGGGCCAGCTGCGTTGTGTGTTTGCCTTGCGGCCAGTTCAGATCTTAAACTCAACTCAACTTAAAGTACTCAAAGTACACAACACACACACACATCTTAAAGTGTACACAATTTCAGAACAATTCGCATTAAATGGATTTTTATAAGACTCAAGAAGTTCGAATGGAATGCGCGTTTTTTGTACACAACTCACCTTGGTACATGCAAAGCGTTGTCTCGGAAAGTTTCTTGAAGTTATATGACACAAACAGAGTTCGAGACCAGCAAGTCCAACTTTTCGAAGTGAAACCAAAAATGTCTTGCCTTTTCTTAGATTGTGCAATTAAATAAGCTTGCAAACTTCCACGATTGAACTGTGCAGCATTTAAGCCAACGTTATTTTAGACGATTGCCACATCGGACCAGCAGAAGTTCGCATTGCTTTAGATGCGAGGAGCTAACTCGCCGTAGTGCTCGCTTTGTGAACATAATAATCACAGGGAGTTCAGTTTTTGATTGGTTCTGATAGACAAATTGCACACAGACAAATTAGTTGGATGTATAAATGGGGGGCAGTACGTGCTCTGTGCAGGTTCTTGCAGAACTCACCAACACGAAGCGAACTATCTATAATGAGGCGATTTCTAGTCAGCTTTCCTTCTTGGCCTGGTAATTTCTTTTAGTAAGCTGAATATCCATATATAACTGTTGTCCTGACTGACTGACCGATTGACTGACTGACTGATTGGTAATCTAAGAATCAGAAATTCTTATTGTGGTTATGTGCTGAAGGTGCTCGCTAAGCCGGGGTTTTGGGTAATTCCACCCGCAAGTGTGGAAAAACCACGAAAGGCGTTTATATAAAACATTTTTGTTTACCATTCGATCGGCCTTAAAGTCATTTCCAAAGATCTTTGATGGAATGCACTTGGAACGTGCTAAGGAGGCGCAGAATAAGGGGGCTTAAAAAGACCTGGCCAACCGACGCCTTTAGTGAAGCATGCAGAACCTCAACAAAATAATCTAGACCTAACAAAATAAACATATGCATAAACCTTCTACTAAATGTAAATATCTAAACTAAGCTACCTTCAACCAAAGCTATTGTTACTATGAACCCCCGATCTTCACGCTAATAAAAGTTGCTTGACTACAGTAACAGCATATCAGTTAATAATAAAAGAAGGTTTAATAATAATACAAAATTGAATGCATTTAAGGGGTGTGTCACACATTTTGGATTCATATATATAAAAGAGTTTGCCCTGACTAAATAACTGAGGGACTGTAGGGTGAGATACGCACCGTAAGAGATACGAAGCTGAACTTTTGATTAAAGCTGCTTTTTAGGTCGAAAGCAAGACGGGGTTTTATGGTGTATACGACCTGCATGTGGAGGCGAAGGTGTTCAACTGTGCCATGAACACATCTAAGATAAGTGTGCTTTGCAACATGACATCATGAGCCTGTGAGGCTAAGGTGGCTAAGCGCCGGCCCAGCAAGCGAGAAGTCGGTGTCTTAACTCCAGCAGCAATTATCAATGTTTATTATTGTTTATTTAATTTGTTATCATTCACAAAGTGGACGTGTCAATCGTGATTATTACAGCTTCATTTTTAATGGATTGTTAATTAACATAAAGAATGCGTAGGCACGTATTAGGTCTGAAGATGGCGGGAAATACGCAAACAATTTCCGTGCCATTTGCATTCTCAACAATATACATTCAACCTCAGCGACAAGGCGTCATTTCTTCTATATATTTAATGTATAAAATCGTTTAGATGCGTTATCAACATTTAAGCGATATAATATGCCAATTACGTATTTGCCCTGCAAGTTGAAAATGTAAAATAATTGTATCCAATTAATTATAAAATGCGCACAGTAAAAGTCCACAACAGCAAAAAGGGACAGCAAAGGCTTTACTTGCATTCCTCTGACATAATAATCGTCGAGTTGTTGGTTTTGATTTTTGTCTGTCGTTGTTTTTAAGCCCGTTTACAACTTTGACAGACACAACTATTCTGTAAAAGCAAAGCACATATATATGTGCATCTATAGCTCACATATATGTATATATACATACATAAAATGTCATCCTCTATGCTTTGGCCTCTATGTGTACTTGTGAACTTCCAAGTAACGGCTTATTAAAATTCTCTGCTCAACTTTTGCTTTGCCAGCAAATTGATTTTGTCTTATGGCCATTGAAAGTTGTTTGCATAATTTTATTAAAAAGGCAAAGCAAAAAAGTGAAGAGCCGCAGATTAAATATACTTATGAGCACAAATTGATTGAATTGCCATTCTATGACCATATTATGCTCTCATTTTCAGTCCAACTTGGCAAATAAATAAACTAAATCTTCAAATATTTCTTAGCTCAAACACGAAGCGAATTTTGTGCCCAAAATTGTTTGCAATTTTCTAAGTTCCACAGATGCACAATTAATTTAAATGCAAACAAAAAAATAAATAAAAGTAACTTAATGTAGGTGTAGCCATAAGCATTTGTGTAAAAGTAACTTGGCCTGGCTTTGTGTTAAGCCACACAGCGTGAAAGGGGGGCAAAAATAAATCACTCTCAACTGTCAAATTAAATACAAAATAATTTTAAATTACTTTCAAATATAATCGTGCGACAATTTGCAAAAAGCCAACCCTTTTTTTTTCGTTTAGTTTTTTTTGTGTTTTTGTGCTCCCTTTTTGCTGGCCAGCGCTTTGGAAATTTCAATTTTAATTTATCTCTGCCTTTGTTGTTGTTGCTGCTTTTGTTGCCGTTTGTTGTTGCTGTTGTTGTTGTTGCTGTTGTTGCCGTTTGGCACCAGCAGCGCTTGGTCCACTTGGCGCATACTTGATATTTCATTGTGCCCCCTTTTTTGCTGCGTGCCTTTTTTACCGCACCCAGAAGGAGATTTGGTTGTTTCTGTGTGTTTGTATGTCTTTGTGTGTGTGTGGTGTGCATGTGCGCAAAGCCGGCAGTTTATTGTCAATTTCAATAGTCGAGACAATGCCCGCTGTAGCAAGTGTCTTCTTTTGGGTGTATTGACTTTAACCGAGTTCTAATATAATAAAAATGCAAATTGCGCACCGCCAGCAGCGGCAAACTGTCGCGTTTTTTCTTTCTTTTTCTTTTTTTTTTATTTTGTATTTATTTGTTGTACTTCATTCTGCTCGCCCACCTTGCCTGGCCTATGCTTCAGAGTGTCTTCTTTGTTTAACGAAGTGAACTTAACTTTTTGTTGGCGCTTTAGGTTTTTACTATGTATTTAGGTTAGGCCAGCATACACACACACACACACACACACACACACACACACGCACGCATGCACGCACACATATACGCAGTTTGTTGGCCATTTTAAAGCCAATGTTTGCCCCAGTCCTGGCCAACATGTAAAGCCGACAGCTGGCCCGAGCTGGGCAGCAGCCACGCACGTTTTGCCTTTTCAATGCTGCTGCTGCTGCTTCAGATGCTTCTGCTGCTCTTTGGGTTTGTTCATTTGGAAGAATTTGGGTGTTCGTTTGGGCTCGAGCTTAGTTTCGATACAATTCGGTTGGTTTTTGGTTTTCGTTTCGGGCTTTTTACTGTCATTGCTGTATCTCTCCTCACCCCATCCCGCCTCAAAAATATTTCCAGTCAGCAGTTTCCCTTTTTTCTTTTTGCTCCTCTCTATTGACTATTATTTATTTTCACTTCATTTTTTTCCACACTTACCGCCGCAATTTAGACGTCTATGTGCGTTTCTATGCCGATAAGAAATAATACTTTAACGCAAAATGGACTCGTTTAATTCTCAATCTCTTTGGGTCGCCGTCGCCTGGTATTGTCTGCCAAAGGATTTCCCATGCCATTTACGCTTGCCTGCTATTGAAAACCACTTTAATTTTTACTTTACCATGGCATCAGAACCACACACATGCTGGTCCATAAAAGACATGAAAAAATAAACATAATTTATTTTAATTTTGTCGCGATTTCTATGAAAAAGTGCGTGTGTTGAAGAAGAAATAGACATTCACACATATATACATATGTATATACATATTAGTGAAAAAATCCCGAAAATCTTTAGCAAATTGTTTTTATTTTTGATATAGCTTTAGATTATATAGATTAATACAGATGTGTATATGCAATAATACGTTTTTGGATAATAATGAAATATATTTTGAACGGGCAAAACCCGACATAGTTACTTAGACTAAGTCTAGCATTTTTCTAGCTTAAATTCAAATCTAAGGCTTAGCTAAGGACTAAAACGAAATAAAATACAAAAAATGTAGCCTCAAATTTGATTTGTTTCCCTCTAGATAACTACGTGCCAAGCCAAAAAATAAACAACGAAAAAGTAAGAATATCTTCGGCATGCCGAAGATTTAATACCCTTGTAGGCATTTGCCTTACGGTTTTGCTGATACGTAAAGCTTGTATGTGTTGAGTTTGATGAAAATACATTCTGTTTTCCATACAACAAATCATTTGTCATTTATATTTAATATAATAATGCGATCTTGATAAAACTTGGCTCGTAGGAGAGCAGCAGAGTTTAAAGAGTAAATTCCGGGTCTTGGCAAGATATATTAAATTAAGTAAAAACTTGTCCATACAAGAACCTGTTTCTCAACCGATCGTTCCGATGGCAGCTATATTTAATATTAGTCCGATCCAGCCGTAGACTGCCTGCAACAGAAAGCGGAACTTTGCGAAGTTTTAAGGTGTTGACTAGAAAAGGTGATTGCATAGAAACAGACAGACGGACAGACGAAAATTACTAAGCATATCAACTCGGCTGTTGATGCTGATCTGGAATACTTTAGGAGGTCGGAGTCGTCTCCTTCTATGCGTTACATATTACATATTTGACAAATTTATAGTGCCCCCTACAAGGGTATATATACAAAGGTTTTCAACATTTAAATATTTGAATAAGCATTTCTTAAAAGTAGTTTCTTAACTTATTATAGACAAAGTGATATCTTAGGAACTAATAGATCAAAATATGTACCAAATTCTGGTTAAATCTGATTTATGATTTGATATTCGATTTTCGAAAAATAGTTAAGGCCCAGCTATAAAATATAGTCTCAGATGTATATTGTATTAGAAATATCCAGTCAAAAAAAGTACAAATTCACAGTGAAATATTCCCAATCCCAAGCTCGGCTCAAGACGTTCCAGATAAAACGCATCTGGATGCCCGTTTCCACGGGTTTTTCGATATGTGCTGTTAACATTTTACAAACATTAGCAAAATATATAATTTGCCTTTTAGGTTATTCACATATTTAATTTTGGTTTTTTGTTTAAATTAGGCACATATTTATATAGATAGCATTTAACAAACAAAATGTTGTTTGTACACATACTTAATTTTCGACCGTTCGTTCCTATGGCAGCTATATGATACAGTTGTTCAATCCGGCCGGTTCCGAAACACGGAACTAAGCAAAGCTTCAAGTTGATGACTAGTTCGCATAGAAACAGACAGACGGACAGACGGAAGTGGATATATCAACTCGGCTGCTAATGCTGATCTAGAATTCATATACTTTAGGGGGTCGGAGACGTCTCCTTCAATGCGTTACATTTTACATGACAATTTTTAGTGCCCTCTACTAGGATGTACAAAGGTTATAAATATTTGAATAATCATTTCTTAAATGTAATTTCATTAATTATTATAGACAAACTGGTATCTTAGGAACTAATTGATCAAAATTTGTACCAAATTCTGGTTAAGTTTTCTTGCTGATTCGATTTTCAACAACTATAAAATATAGTCTCAGATGTATATTGTACTAGAAATATCCAGTCTTTACTATTACTATTTTACATTGAAATATTCCCAATCCCAAGCTCAGCTCAAGACGTTCCAGATAAAACACACATCTGGATGCCGTTTGTTCCACGGATTTTTCGATATGTACTGTTAAGTTGACGTTTTATAAACATTGGCAAAATATTTAATAGGCCTTTTAGGTTATTCCCAAATTTAATTTCTTCTTTTGTTTTTTTTTTGTTCAAATAAGCCATATATTTGGCTTTAAAGAACAGGTAACAAAAAGCGTGTCTCTGTGAAATGGATTTCAATTTGGTTTGCTTATTTGATCTCTGACAAGCCTCTTGTTTCCATGCATGTTCTGCCCTCATTTATCGTGTATTATTCTATCTATATTTATATATATTAATATATTTATGTATATAGGTATATATTGTATATATATATATATATATATATATATATTTGTATGTAGATTTGTACGTGTACTTAAATATAGTTTTGCTTTGGGCTCGGGATGTCCCATGCCTACACCCTTGCCCCCTGTTACAAATGTAGATGTTTCTGTTAATTTGGCTTGACGACGTTTTTTTTTCGGATTTTGATTGCTGAAATTGGTTTTTTTTTTGTCTTTAGTTTATGTTTATTGGCCAGGGTATGTGTCTGCTGCTGTTGTTGTTGTTGTTGTTGATGTTGCTGCTGTCGTTGTTGTTATTGTTATTGTTGGTGTTGTGGTTGTCGTTGTGGTTGTTGTTGTGGTTGTTTTTGTGGTTGTTGTAATGGTTGTTGCTGTGGTTGTTGTTGTGGTTATTGTTATTACTTGTTTGAATGTTGCAGATGATATTGCTGTGGTTGTTGTTGTGGTTGTTATTGTGGTTGTTGTTCTGGTTGTTGTTCTGGTTGTTGATGTGGTTGTCGTTGTCGTTGTGGTTGCTGTTGTGGTCATTGCCGGCCTCGTTGTTGTTGTTGTTGTTGTGGCCGCTGTTGTTGCTATTGTGGTTTATGATATTATTGTTATTATTAGCGCTAAAATAACTATTATTTTCTGGTTGCTGCAAATTCCAATGGTTGGCCGCCAGCTCATGGGGCAATGCATTGTGCGTCATATACCAAATGCGAAATTTGCCAGCCTGAGCCGCGCCCGGTGGCACATGTCCGTTATTGAGAAAGACGGGCGCCTTGAAATTAAGCCCAACGCACGGCTGCAACTGTTGCATGTGTTGCATGTGCTGCATCTGTTGCATTTTGGCAATCTGCTGCGGCGGCGGCGGTGGCAGCTGCTGTGGCTGCGCCTGTTGCTGCTGATTAAGCTGCTGTTGCAGCTGCTGCTGTAGCTGCTGCTGCTGTTGATGCGATAGGTGATGCTGCTGCTGCTGCTGCTGCTGCTGTGGCAGCTGCTGTTGCTGCTGTGGCCACGACGGCTGGCCAGGATGTTGCCATCGCTGCGGCGCATATATGAAGTGTCCGGCGGCTGGCGCTGGTCCCGGTGGTGGCGGCGGTGGCGGTGGCGGCGGTGCTGGTCCTGGTCCAGGTGCCGATTCAGCGTCTGGTGCAGCTCCATTTTCCAGCGACTCTTCCATCTCCTCCTCCTCTGGCTGATGAGTTTGGCCTAGCTCCTGTTGGAGCTGCCATTGCAGTTGGCGTTTCAATAGTAAATGCAACTGGCGCAGCTGGAGCAGCGTCTGCTGGAACATCTGACGATTGGGCAGCGCCGGCAGCATCTGATCGATGCTCTGCACCAGGCGACGCGTCTGGTGCTGCGCCTGCATCAGCTGTGCGGTCAGATGCTGCTTCTGGCCCATGGGCACCTTGTCACTATCCAACGGCAATTTCTTCTCCACGCTCAACAATTTCGGGCCCGGCGGCTTCTTCTGCTCAGCCTGCGGCTTCTGTTCGTCTTCGGTGAAACGCCAGGGCTCGAACTGCTGGCGACGCTCGCGCTCGAACTGGCGTTCGCGCTGCCAACGTAGCCAGGCTTCCAGCTCGGCAGTTGGTGGATTCTCCTGACGCCGACGCTGTATACATGGACGTGTTCACCTTTGGGCTTTGGCCCGACAGTAACAAAAAAGTAATTTAATACTTACAAATTGCGCTTCGCACTGCCACAGCGTCGAGCCATTCTTGTGCTCCTTGCTTGCACTGAGATTGATATTCAGGCTGTTCATCGCCGCTAGACGCTCGGCCCGCTCGGAGCCAATTGGTGGCAGAATGTGCCTTTCATCCATTATTATTGGTTGATTTAATTGTGCCAGTTTCAGAGTATTTCAAAACTATTGCTGTCAGAAGAAGTTGTAATTGTAATTAAATTTCCAGTGCCATGACCAAAATGAATTTAAACCCATAGCCAACTTACGATTCAAATATACTCAGGGCCACAATTTAGGCAATCGCTTTTTAGTTTACTTACGTGCAAGTACTGCTTTTTACGGCCAGCACATGTTATATCTTAGTTCTCAATTAGGTCCTGTCACTTACTGGAATAGATTCAAGAAAAGAAATAACCTGTTATTGATACATTTTTGCCATATGTTGAAAGTGTTTTAACCGTATTTCTTTCTATCTCTTTGCTCCCTTCCTGCCTTGCACACTCCCTCGCTCACTCACTCGCTTTAAATATCGCCTTTCTATTCGATTTTCACAAGAGTGTGTGCTGGAAAGCTTTCAAGTAAATAAAGTACCAGTTATTGGTTCATTTGTGCCGCTTTCTCTCTCTCTCTCGCTCTCTCTCGCGTTCTCTCTGTCTGTGTCGCTCTCTCGCTGTCTCTCTCTCTCTTTCTCTCCCTCTCTCTTGCTCCTTTGCTCTCTCACTCGCTTTAAATACCTCCTTTATATGCAATTTTCATGAATTAGTATACAATTTTAATAGTTTTAAGTGATTTTTTTCTTTTTACTAATTTAATTAACTGACCCCACGCTCTCTCATTTATAGTCGTGCAAAATAAGAAGGCTCGACTGTAAGATACCCTCTCTTGTCTTTAATTAGACCTTTTTTTAAATCGGATATGGTTATGGTTTTATGATTTCTCAAGCATCTAATTACAATATTACTTGTTGAAAATGTTGATATTTTTACAGGTGGAATATGCCACAACCGAATCGGTGGTAACTGTTGATTGGGAAAATGGCTTTGTTGAGGCATCGGCGGCCAATAACGACAACATCACGCAGGTAAGCATTTGGCTCATTTGATTGAAGCGTTGTTAACGTAGCTCTTCGGTTTCTGTTGCCGTTTTTGTTTTTTTTCAGGTTTTCAAGGAGCTGCTCGCCCAGGCAAAAATTACGTACAACCTGAGCCCGGCGCTACGCCGCCGCCGCCAGTCGCTGCCCCAGCAAATTGGCAACAATGGGCCGGGCACACCGCTGCACCACCATCACCATCACCATCAAGGGGCGACGGCGCACGGTTCCGGCTCTGGGTCGGCCTCAACATCGTCTGGTGCCGCCGGCGGGGCGCATGGCTCACACACACCAACGCCGGCACAGCTGCAGCATCTGCAGCGCATACAGGAGCGCAGCTTGGGCGCCAAGCGCAACTCATGCACAATTTCCTAAGCCAATTGGCGTTAAATAATAGCAAACCTTAATGAACCTATATGCAACTGAAACTGAACAAACGGTCTCCTACAAATGGTTTTCAATGTTTCACAAATAAAAACGATTTATATTTATGTATTTACGATCTTATATAGCATCGACTCAATCGTACCTCTTGCTAAACACTTTAGTACCTATCTTGAGCAAATTTTCGCTCTGTCTTTCTCTCAAGCTATCCCTCTCTCTCTCTCTCTCTATTCTCCCATTTCTGACTATCCATATATCTATATCTCAACACGCCCAAAAAATGTTTGGAACCCAAAAAGATATAAATAGGCATAAGCCGCAACTAAAAGACCCATTATAATATAAATGTTAGTTATTTCTACAGATATACATATATATATATAGTATATATATTTACATATAAATATGTCTATATATACGATTCACAGATATGTGTACCATCTATACAAATAATTGAAGCGGCAATCCCAACAAACTATGCACAAAGATCTGTAAATACAGGACAATATCTGAAGCTTAACGCCCAAAAAAAAATTTGACCAAAATCCCCAAATTACAATTTATCCACTATTTATTACAAGACAATTACAATTTTTAGGTTGCTTTAAAAAAACAAATAAAAATTGAACGTTTTTCGCATCTAAGCAATGTTCTAATCCCTTTGCATATAAACACAGTAACTATCCGAAACAAAATGCTTAAACTCAAGAAAAACCGCAAGAAAAGCGCCCAAAATGTAGGCGGCTGTTGAACCGCTCCTGTGTCTAATCACAAAAGTGTTACAGATGTGTCTGTGTATGTGTGTGTCTACCTAACCGAAATATAAGTATATATGGATTCTATTAATAAATACATACATGTATGTATATGTACGTTTTTTTCAAGAATAGAAGCAAAACTTGGGGTGTAGAGCCTGACTGCTTCATCTGAAGAACAGAGCTAGTTTTGGAACTTTGGCTAGATAGCTTTGGCAAGCTGAGTACAGGAGTATGCCATGCTATGAGATACTCTGCACACTATTTATCTATGTAAAATGAATTGAATGATGTTCAACGTACAAAGTAATTACCTAACTCCCAATTTAAATGAAGTAAACAAAATGAATACAAAACAAAACTTAAATATCATAAATATATCAAATATATGCACATTTCGCTCACCCTGTAAGCTTAATTATATTCCCTTTGAAACAAAATTAAGTTCAATTTACAAAATAGCCAATTCGAGAACTTTCCTTCTTAGCCGAGTAGCATCTGGATGTGTGTGTATGTGTGTGTTATTAGATCGTGAGAGTTTATATAGAGTAGTTGATGTATTCTCAAAAATATTCGTGATCGTATATTGTCTGTGGAAGATGGAAGCAAATGCATAGTAATTAAAGATTGTTAAGATTATTTGTGAATTTAGTTTTCTTTATGTTTTATCATAATATATTATTAAATGTTAGCGTGTATCGTAATGTAGTTGGTTAATAAGGGAAATGACGGTTTAAGAATGAAAATGCAATGAAAACACCAAAGAAAATCAAACTAAGGCCAAACATAGTAAGGAAAAGCAACTAGAGAAGAAAGGAAATACCTATAACTACTTATATAGTATATATATATACATATATATCTATATATACTTACATCTATGAATGGGTACAAGAAACGACTATTATGATATGAAGATACATATGTATTGTATGCAAGGGTCTGCCGCAGCATGTTAAAGCTAATATACTTAATAAATTTACAACAACTAGTTGGTTTGTCTGTGTCTGTGTTAAATATCATATAAATAAATAGCTTAATACATTCATTGGGGTGCGAAGCCGAATTTTCTTGCAAGCCAAAAGATAACTAACTTGCTGAGCTTAAATTGCAGGCCCCAAACGCAACTAAGTATGTTTTAGAAAGCACAATATTCAATGGTATTTACAGATTCCGAAGAGAATCTTATCAAATTAAGGACTTAAACTTACTTTCAGTATTCGCTTTATTTTTAAATTTCCCTGTCTATGAATAGACATTTACACAACTACCTACGTATATATATATGTATATATAAACATATATATATATGTCTTGATGATAACCAATTGAATCGCCAACTGATCAAGCGTTAATCTATATATATTTAAAATGTATTATTATCTGTGCAAATAGTATGTTGTACAATAAGAATTATCAATGTCAAGCAAGGCTCAATTGTATATTATTTGAGTGCAGAGTGTTATTTTTTATAATATAGCACGACTTAAAAAAAATGAAAAACAATGAATAATAAGTATTTATATCGATATGATACAATAAAAACAAAAACTAACTGAATTTATATAATTACTGAAACCAGTTCGTATAATACTTATACAAAGTAGTGCGTATTCGTGTGACATTTTTGTGTGTATTTACAAAATAAAATAAATAAAAACAATATTGCTTAAATATTGCATACATATATACATACATATTATCAACCTACATATATCTATTGAAAAGAAAATGCATTAAGCAACAACTTGACAAAGCCAATGTTCTGTGTGTATTCTATGTAATTAGTAAATTATCAATGTAATACTACCTAAAACCCAAAGTTTTCCCCAGAAAATTATAACTAAATTTTTGTAATTTATTTAGTTAAACGGCGCACTATGACTGAACACATTGTGTTTCAACACTTCTCACAAGATTTTCACTTTTTCACAACATTTGAGCGAACGTCAGGCAACTTTAAACAAACTAGCCAGGTCGGTTAGCTACCAAACCGGGCCAAAGGAAGCTGCATATATTTTCCATATAATATTCGAGAAATTCAGTTCACAGTGCGCTGATTAACACAAACCCATTTTGGATATAAAAGCAAGGCCACATAGAATTGACTAAAGCGCCAATTGTTGGCGCTACATTAAGGCAAATACCAAATAAATTTCACTATTGGTTCTTCAGATACTTGCTACATACTCGATAATACATACACCTATTATATATATTTATATGTATACCTAGATTTGTACTTTAATCTAGAGCTTACGGTTGTGTCCGCTGTATACGCCGCTGCAATTTCAAATTACATTTTATTGATGTGAAAACCAAGAGAATTATTTAACACAAACGAAGTGGAAACACCCAAAACAAAAAAATAATATATACATATATACTTATATCTAAAATATCTTATCAAATAACTCGTGCGCATCGTTTTGAAAAATAGTACATAAATAATTGTGTTATTGTGTTAACTTTTACGCGGCTTTTTTGTGTTTCCAAATTTTCCTAAGTTTTAAAGTTAACAATTTGTACGTAAGTGTGTGCGAGTAATTACAAAATTATGTAGCAGAGCCCAATGAATGTTATAAAGAAGTAGCAAACACCAGCAGAAGGCTATCCTTAACAATTATTAACATAAATACCAAATACATACACAAATATACATGCATAAATATATATATATACATATGGTGTATACATATACAAATATATTTATAAATGTAATTAATAAAAAGCAAAACCAAAACCCAAAAAAAAAAAAAATGAAACTTAGGTAAACTGAGAAAAAATACAGAGAAAAAAAATACATTTTTTGTGCTTGTGTAGAATGTAAAAACAGAAAATCGAATGCGTTTTTTATTGCCTTACCTTTGCACTGACGAGCCCTGTAGATCAATCACAAGACGGGAACACAGTCACCAAACTCGCCGGCCAACTTATTGTGAATAAATGCATGCTAGATGCGCGGCTGCGGATGCCACGAATATCGCGAGAGTGCTACCAATAAATGCCGTTGCATTGGCTTGATATTAATTCAAATTAATTAACAAATAGTATCGTTTAATCGTAAAACGATAACACAAACAAAGCCTTGCGCATGCTTTAAGAACCATTTAACGTTAATCGACAACAGGATGTTGGCATCCTTAAAGCTGAATGCCATGCACGCGAAACTAGGTCGGGCTCGGCAAGCTGACGCCAGCTGCTTGCTACAAAACTCAAGTAACTGCCCGAATGGTCAGTGCTGCCAATTTCGCTATAAAAAAAGTAGCTAAAATCAATGATAAAGTGAGCTAAAACTAGCTGATTTGCACAATTTGGCAAGGTAAACTACCTTTGATTAAGTGCATAATGTTGATGTCTTTAGTATCCAGACAACCAGCTTGCAGCTTTTGTGCTTTTTACACGCTTTCCCAGATTAAATTTGCACACAATGCATTTTCAGCGCAATTGGTATACGTTTAGCTATTGTTGACTAAACTTCAGATTTCGTCATCAATTGCTGCTAGCACTTGATCAAAAAATGAAAAGAAGCGGGGTCAGGCACCTGCTCTTTCCGTTAAGTATTACAACTGAAAATAACCACATTTAGCTAGAAAAAAAGCTGAAATGGCAACACTGCCAATGTCTGCCAATGTCTGCCAATGAATGCATCTCAAGCTTGTCACTTTATGCGCCAACAGAATCCTATATAAGCATATGTATATATATCCATGTATGGATATATATATATATATATATATATATATATATATGTATTTTATAAATGTATTAATAATATATATATATGTAGATATGTGTGTATAACGGAATTTGCCCCAACAGATAACAGAGAACTTAGTGGCCCAGCAAAAAATTCAAATCAGAACGACATAAAATCAATATGAACTGTCGCATAGTGGAATAATAGGATATTTAGGGAGTGTGTGCATATATATATACATATATATATATATATATATACATATAACTGTGTGTACCCCAGAAGCAACAATAGCAGACATGAGCACAAGGTCAAACAGACAAGCGTAAAATGTGCAGGAGGACCAAGCTCAAGGTAAAATCCGATTTTGTGGGGCAAAGCCGAGCAACCAGTACCCTGCAATCAACGAAAATACACAAATTTTGCAACACTGAATGCTATGGAAACTATAAGCCTTGCTTTGAAATAGCTTAGTGTTGTCAAATTTTACTTTAATCAGGTTCTGTTTCTTGAACCAGCGCATTAGTTCAAACCTTGGTGGCTTGACACATCTTTGAACCAACCAATTGGTTCAAACCATGCTGGTTTGCCACATCCTTGAGCCAATGCACTGGTTCAAACCATTTCTGCTGTATCTTTTTTCAAAAAGGTAAAAAAAGGCCTAATTCGTGCTTTACCCAAAATCGGCAGCTATCTATATAATAATATATATCCACCTAGGGAATGATTGGAGCCAGTTAATTAAGCTGAGCCTGCCTTAAAGGTTTCTTATTTGGAACAAAACCAATTTAAAGGGTTGGCTTCGTATATTTTTGCTTATTTTTTGCCATTTCAATTTCAAAGCAGTTTGGTGTCTTAAGAGTCTTACGTTTTGTCGTATTTATTTTTAAATGCATTTATATAACTGATGCGAGTTCTGCAAATGAATGTACCTTACCCCATGCTGAGTCACAAGAAGCAAAGAAGAGACACATCAGGACATTCTATTTCAAAACAGACGCAAGCGCACACGAGGCCACCTTGCGTGCGAGGCACGTGTGAGTGAGTGTGCCACGTTGTGCTCACGTTGCGCGACTCGTGCCACAGCTGATGGTGTTTAGCGGTTGGGCTTTCGGCTATTGGGTCGCTGGGTCGTATGCACATGTCTGTGTGCGTGCCTGCGTGCACATGTGTGTCTGTTTGTGTGTGTGTCTGTCTGTGTGTGTGTGTGTGTGTGCTTGTGCGCGCGCTTGCATGCTGCTGTTGTTTTGCGTCTGTGGGGCCATGGCCAAGCTGTCAGGCAGAGCCGAAATCGAAACCGATATCCCAAAGTTGTAAACGGATTCTCGGCGCCCGGCAGCCTGTCATTGTAATCTGACCAGCAACCGACTCGCAGCTCACTCGCAGCTCCGAGGCGCAATTTACTAAATAAAACTTGTGTTCTTGTTGTTTGCTGATTTTTATTTTTTTTTTTTGTTGGTTGTGCTCGCGTTTGTGCGCCCTGAAGCGGTTTATTGTTTTCGTTGCTCGTTCAACTATTTTGCGCCGCCTAAAAGTATGCAGCTAATAAATTGCGCGTTATTTCTGCTGTGTTGTAGCATAGTCTGAACGACCGGCCGGTTAATTCCAGATACATGTTGTTGTGCTCTTTGATTACGTGCACGAGACGCACAATCAGCCAGCGACTTGGCAAAACAACAATTGGCCAAGTTACATCAACAGCCCAACCCGAAACCCATCAAAATCCCATCTCCCGGCGCATCTTCCTGTTGGATTTGTAGACACAACGGGGAAGCACCCCTAATCCGCATGATCTGTGGAGAAACCTGAGCCTGGGTAAGCCTCCGGTGATAAGGATTTGAAATTGCGTCGCACGACAAAGAGTACGTATACATACATACAGACATATATATATTTGTCCATATATCTTTATTAGAAGGAAACATTGTTTATATCTGCCCGCAAATTATCCAATTTACTTCTTCCAAGGCCCAGGCACAACAAAATTGCATTCTCCTTTATCAATTTATATATATATAGATATATGTATTCTCCTTTATCTTTATGCTACCACAACTCAATTAAAGATCAATAAAACAGGTATGTATGCAAGTGTAAATAAACTAAGAGAAAAGTGTGTGAAACATTGTCATTTAAAAGTTTCGATGATTAAAGCATATTCTAGGCCAATGATTGCAATTAACGTAATAATAATAGCTAATCTTTTGGAATATATTTAATTTTCTTAATTCTAATTTCTTTAATTGGCTCATAATCAAAAATAATAGTGGAAAATGGATTTGCTATAAAAGAAAAATTATAATAATAATGTCTACATCAGAAAGCAAATGTTTTATAATCTGAACACAATTCAGCATTCATGATTATTTAAACTCCATTCCACTTTTAAGGCTAATTTTGTAGCTGAAAGATTCGCAATTCAAGAAAAATATTGCAATATGTTGAATTCCCCGAAGTCTTGATCTAATTATTATTCGATACATTTCCGACTAACTTTCTTCCTACTAAAGTAGAAACATTTTGTTTATTTTATTTCAATACAACATTTTTTGTAAAAAAACAAACCTATATTGTTTATTTTCATAATAATCATATATGCAGAAAATCCATCATTCAATGCTTTCCCGAAACCGTGCTGATTCATTGCGATATCAGTTCGAAGATCTTGACATTTCACAGCATATATTGGTTTAGTTGTACAAATTTGCGGCAATGCTTGTGCTAAATATATGCATTATAGGGGACCATGTTATGGAACCCACATGAACCGACATTAAACCATTTTATAATGGTCGCCACACACTCACAATGTCGATAAACATCCGATCCAATGGAAGCCGGTCAAGGAAGCTGTGACGTCTAGCGAGGCGTTGATAACAGCGACCAGAGAACCGAAACCTAAGTGGCAATGCTCACTACTAACAATAAATACATATATATATATATATATAAATATATATATATACATATAATATATGTATCATAATTGAAAGTACAAAATGATAAGTTTAATAAGAAAGCAACTTAATTTTATATGCAAGCAGACGGAGCCAGACTCATAAGCATAAGCGTACATGTATTCGTGTAATGTAAGAATGTGGCTGTTCTTTTCGTACAATGGGTAGAATGAATGCTTTGCATATTACATTTATTAATTTAAAAATTATATATTATTTGAATTCATTTTGTCGATGCTAACAACATGTGAAAACATTTTCGTAACTGAAATGCTAACATAACCAACAGCTGTTGAGATAACAGTTATCAGTTAACAGTTAACAGTTTTGATGCTCGTACTTTTGTGCGGAAACAAACAACTTAAAATACATTCTTCACGAATTTCCTTAAACTGTATATAGTTATATATATGATATAACGTGTACAAAAAAAAAAACAAACCAAAAATCTCACCATATCTTGAGTTAGCACTTTATGCCACGAAATATGCCCATTAACCCATTGTAGATTGGCGTCGACTCAAAATCTTGTTGTGTGGGTGACTCCTAACCGATAAGCTAAGTGGAAGGCAATTTCAGTTTGTATATATACATACATATATTTCTCTCTTATTTCTGCGGGCGGTGGTTCGACGACAAGCTGAGATTTTTGTTGAAACATATTGTTGCTTAGCGTTCATGCCTGACTTTTTTATCAGCCTTTATCCTAATCTATATATAAAAATGTGTGAGCAAAATGTATGAAGCCACAAGTCAGCGTTTGCCGGCTGTGTTTTATAAAGCTGTCGTTTGCCTCAGCTGGCAGCAGTTCACATCGGATTGTCGCCGCACTCGCTCGGCGGGAAGCAGCAGTTAAAGAACAATATTTTTTTTTTATTCATGCCCTACACAAGTGAAAAATAATTTCGAATTTTTTTTCGAGTGCTTAAAACGCTGGGCTATAAAATTTGGACTAAATGTGAGAGCGCATGGCATGTGAGTCCCTCATTTGGCAGGTTTAGCTGATTTTCAATACGATATTGCTAGCTGCCTTGTGAAGGGCTTACGTGTGATTGTTAAACAACTTAAACAACAAATAATATAAGTAAACCCG